TTAATGCTGAAGTTGCAAGCAAAGATCTTTCACAGTGGGTGGCGCTTGTCATAGGTTTCTTGGCTACAGCCACAGCACATGCACAGTGAAAGAAAGATGTCTCTCGTTGCAATAATGGTCATTTTGTTTTGACTTCTACTTGTCTATTCCAGTCAAAGGAAAAATATTTATGTTGTAATTTACTCCAGGGGTGTCCAAACTTTTTCATATTTGGTCAAAACTGTCAAGATAAATATCAAACTTTTATATTTATATAGGGGAGTGGTGGCCCAGAGGACAACAAAATGTGGGTGGGAAAGGTGAAACGCCCACACCTCTCTCCACCCTTATTTGCCCCACTCTGGGCCCTTGAACAAGGCCCTTAACCCACACCATCTGCTACTCTGGGCACCTTAGATTCATTCAACCTTTATAAAGACAGGTTAATCCCATGGAGCCTCGGAGACTCATTTACAAGAGAGGCCTGACAGCATAGATAGCAGCTCTCTGCTCCACACAGAGGGCTGTGGTAGCTTGGTAGTCTGTGGTTGTGTCAGGGACGGCATCCGGCATAAAAGCAATTGCCAAGTCTTCATGCGAGTTATTTCACTATGGCGACCCCTAAGGAAGGGAGCAGCTAAAATAAATAAATAAACATATATATATATATATATATATATATATACTGTATACACCGTATTTTTGGTCATATAAGTCACACCTTTTTGCATAAATTTGCAAGTCTTGCGACTTATACACCGAAGCAACTAATATTTGTTTTTCTCCCATATTTATAACACAAATTTTAGCTGAGATCTGATGATTTCATTCATTCTGGCATGGAAAATATTGAACACTACCATTTTCAGCCACTAGAGGGCCTCAACCTATATGGCAAGCCAAGTGTCTCATTAATAGGTAAAAGTGGCTATTAATGAGACACTTGGCTTGCCATACAAAACTACCTTCGTCTCGCTCCCGAACTCCTGGAGCAAACGTCAAATCAGCTGCATTTCGCCGCACCGCCCAGGCGAAATGCAGCTGATTTGATTGTCAAAGTGCATTTATTAAGAGAAAGTTCAACTTAGACACAGCTTTGCTATAATTTTAAGCAAACAAATAATTGTTTTTAAGTGTTGATCTTGTTAAATTCTTGTTAAAGTCCTCCTGTGCACGCTCCTGCAGCTGCCATTTGGCAGCCAATTGATTTTTGGCACAACATCGGACCACGTTTCCTGGTGGTCAGCCATGACATAATAGATGTGACTTGAAATGAGAAGTGACTTATTTATGTTGTTTTTTTCCCACTTTATTAGACATTTTTGGACTGATGCGACTTAGACGGCGGTGCAACTTTTACGGCAGAAAAAATGGTTATATATTTAATTATATGTTGGGTCTATTGTCTTTTGCTTTGTTTTTTTGTGCTTGGAAAATTAATTTTAGTCTATTCTCAGAAACACAAGTGTAATAAAAGTAACTGGTCTGTAAAAAAAATAAAATCTACTAATCTACTGTATGTAGATGAGACCACATTTTCCTTTTAAAATATCCAATTTCCCCTTCATCAATGATTAAATTAACTACTATTTATTTTCATTGAATACACTCGCTATATTTAGCCAAGTTTTATGACTTGTCCAAAAGTCTGCTTTTAGGTAGAAGTCAGTAAAGGTCTGTGGTTAATTTAAATGAAAAAAAAAATAAGATTGATTGTAGTCAAATATTTGTATTTAACGTTGCTCATATGGAGAAGATTTTTTTTCAATTGCTAAACCATTAAAAAGTACTTTATTAATCCCAAAGGGAAATTAAATGTTGTAACTCATCATTCTGGTTTCATTAAGCAGTTGCTCTAGATGCATATGGCGGTGGATATAAGAATGGCCCTTTGGCCCAACTTTCGACGTCCCTGGTTTAACCAAATCAAAAATATTTATTGTTTTTTTTAAGAGTTTCTTACAATTTTTCTTGTTTCACCTCAAAAATACAATAACTATCTAAAAAATTTAGCCTTTTAAGCAAACTTTTTATTTAAAGTGCACCAAGGCTATACGTATTTGACTTTTGGAAAAGCCTCGGCATCGACTCTACAGGATTATCCTCCTCAAAACTCCCTTGCTCCTTTATTTGTCTGTTGTCAAGATGTGACAGTCAGACAGCGCAGAGTCTCCGGTAGACATGACCCGGAACTCCGTCTCCAACTTGCCAACACAAATCCGAGAGTAAAGCTCACTGTTTCTGTTTAAAGGGAAAACAAATTTTAGGCAACAAACCCAACAGAAATGTATGTCACTTTTATGTCCTCGTGCGGTATACAGTACATGACTTGGATTTCCTGCACAATAGACACAAAAGAAAACATCTTAGCTGCTGATAAATTAATTTAGAACATGCAAATATAGTTCAATGTTTCATTTGATCTATCCATCCATCCATTTTCTTTACCCGTTTATTCCATTTTGGGTCACGGGGGTCGCTGGTGCCCATGTCCAGCAATCACTGTGCGAGGGGCGGGGTA